AGGAGACTTATAATTTTTTGACATATCAGAAAAATTACATTTAAAGATGTTATAATTGCTCAAGACACAGCATTAATGAACATATTGAAGTGCACAAAAAAAAATGAAATTTTAATATAGACATTTTAAAGCTGCATGTTTCATGATTCTTGCAAAGATTTTATGAAAATTTAGAAAATAAAATGCCTTGTATATCTCTTTTTAACAAATTTGCCCTGATTTGAGGGAAAGTATGTAAAATATCTTTGCTGAAAAAAAAACAACAAATAATTGTTGGGGTATTTTATTATATTGTTACAACAAGGAGTTATTGATTCATACTATAAAAATAAGAAATAAAAATTGTATTTTTGTGTAACAGGAGTTGTGTTTATCTTTTCTAGCTATGCAATATTAATTTTAAATGTCATTTATATTTAAAAAAAAAATGAAACAGAAGTCCCTTATTATTCTACAAGCATAATATAGCCTACAGTACCAATCAAAATTGTTGTTGCATTTTATTGTATCATTTTATATTGTGTAGTACTTACTTATTATATATGTACATGCTTTTATGGATTTTAGAACAATATTGTGGATTTAAATGTTCAAATATTTTTATCATTTTTTGCACTGGTTAACCTTTGAAAGGTTAAAGCAATAATGATTAACCTATCCCATCATTGAGCCAGGCACACTTGAGATTGTGTTCAAAGTTCCTTTACACTAACACTGGAGAAGTGAATTTTAAGTAAAACAAGCTTGTTTCTACAATTCATGAATTAAAGCAGCATGCCTCCAGATTCATGTTTATTTTCACGTACCCGACAGTGGTAAATAAGAGTAAAATATTGTTTGATGAACAAATAAAGCAATTTACCTACTGCAATCGGCACTTAGGCCAATGTGTTAATCATTACGCCATGCCACCACTCCTTAGCTGCTGATTTTTTTTAATGTCTGGCTACAGCACTGTAGACTATAGAGGCTGTATCTGGTAGTCTGTGTTGTACTCTATGAAATTTAAGGTCAAGGTTCAAGGTCAAGGCAAGACATTAATGTAGCATCACATTATAAAAGAAAAAAGATGCTCATCATATTAATTATGCAGCTGTATATAAATGTATAGCTAGACTACTAGTATATAAGCTTAAACAACTTTATCTATCCATTAGGTTTTTAGGTTCCTGTTGTTGGTTTTTCCCTCAAATGAGATTTTTGACTCTATTCCAACAGCATATTAATTAATTCAGATAACCCAATTTATCCTGATCTCAGCTAGTAATAAATTAATTTTCAAGACACATGTGAAATATTTTGGCTAAGAATAGGTTATTTATTCAGTATAAGGTATTAGCAACAAACATTTCACATTTGCATATACTTTGTTTAAGCATCTAGATTTACTTTGAATATTTAAAACTGAACAATTTTGTTATTTTCGTAAGCTTTTTATCATTTCTTGCAAGTTTGAACAAATTGAAATACATGAAAGAGTTTTTTTACTTGAAAAAGAAGAGAAATATCAACATTTTCCTCACCCTGGCTCTATACTGGTGGCAAAGTGTTATCTCTTTTTATGCCAGGAGGTAAAACTTTTAAAAAGGTTAATATTAAATGATAATGAATGTATCCATGTACAACATGTATTAACTAACACCTTCATAATTTCAAACAACAAAAGTGCTGGTCGCTTTTTGAAAATTTAATTGTACAAGATGAGTATCATAATTACCAAGTAAAGTTACATGACATATCATTAAAGTGCCTGATCATCCTTTACATTTTATAACCAGTATTGTTTTATGTCAGTAAAGTACATCAATTTCATATGTTTGACTACATTTGCATATTCATTCTGTTTTCTTTATACAGAAAAAAAATATAATTGTTTTGTTACACCTTTGCCTAAATTAACTAATTAGGAAGCTTTTATTGTTATAATTGTCATTGTGAAAGTAGAAGGTGAAAGAAAATGTCAGTATTTAAACTTTTCATAATTTACTTTTAAAGAAAAAGTTTTATTTTCTTGTTGGCTATAAAGATCAAGGGAGGTAAAGATGGTATATGATGTTAATGACTTTTTAGACTTTTTATCTCCCTTCTATTGCGTTTTATCTTGGTTATGTCAATTTCATACCTCATCAACCATAGAATGTATTCACTTGAAACTTCATCCTGTCGTAATACCCAAAGATTTCTAATTATAGGTCCATAAGTCTAGCAAGGATTTTGATTGGATAAAAGCTGATTTTGAACTTAAAGTGGATTGGTCTACAATGGGTATATTTTCTATAAGTATTTTCTTTATTGATAAAAAAAACAACAGAAATGTATAATTTGGATATTCTGTGAAATATTGTTTGAGAAAAAAAATGTTGCTAAAGTTCAAAGTGACTTAGTAATTGAATATTAGATTTTATATTATGAATAAAAATATTTTGTTTTAGAAAATTTTATTATCTGCTATATAAATAGACATGTAATATCAAGTCATGTATCTCACACTTGCCAGGAGCATCTTTATATAATCTTTTACAGTTCTGCTGTTATGTCTGAAATTAAATACTTTCAACATAATTATTTATTGTATAAGAGAGTTTCTATTATAGACCAATTCCCTTTAATGAAATCCTGCGTGGTTTCAGACACTTGTTATTGAGAAAAGTTCATTATGCTGTGACATAGGCAGCTATAACTATAACTTTTATGTATATTTTAAACATGATTTTTAAAGATTTATATAGATATTTTGCATATTTTTATATAGTTAGTAGAGAGAGTTTTATTAATTTTACTTTATAAAAAGGTCAATATACATCATAAGAAAAAAACCCATAAAATCTGGGACTTAGTATATATATATTTAAGATTCATATATTTGTATATGTATTACTTTTGAATTTCCAATATAAATGGGAAAACAGTATGAAAATGTTACATTTCAGAAAAACATATATTAATGATCTCTTTATTGGCAAAGTAACACAACAATTCAATTGCATATCATATTTTTTAACATCCAATCAAAGTTTCTGATTTGTACCATGTGACCATCTTATATATTTCCTAGAGTTAACACTGTATATATTTATATCCTGTTTTAACTGAGTGTACCTTTAACAATAAACAAATATTTGTAATGAAATCAGAGTAACATTGAAAAGAACTTTGAAAGCTTATGATCTCTCAAAGTCAAAGCTGCGAAACATGCTAAGTGAAAAGGAAATAAATAATTTGAATACAGTACAGGAGTGATAGATTATTTACTATTATTTTGTACAATATTACAGATATTTTGACTTGGTTTACAGCTTAAAAGTCATATTGGATTCATCTGATGGCTGGTCCAATATGGTTTCTCCAACCATGAACTTTTCCATATATATTATCTGATTGTAAGGTACAATGTTCAATTTCTTAAGTGTTTTTTTTCAAGTGTGTTCAGTACTCATTTTGACCTCAAAAATGTGACTTTTCATTTATCTTATATTGAAAAAAAAACACCTCAAAAACAACAGTCAGCTATTTTGTTGTTTTGTTTAGAGGGAGTGTCTTGTTACTTTTAATAAAAAAACTATTTAGCTAGCTTATTGAAGGCTGGATGTTTGACCAAGTCACCCACATGTTTTCTAACTTCAATAATGTGCACTTTGTTCACCATGGACATTGAAAGGTCAGTACATGTACATGATCTTGGCAGCGTGAGTGTGATTTTTACATCCATTTATGATACCACCCTGTTATCTGCTAGCAATCTCGTGAAAAGAACATTAATTTTTAAGTTTTATGCAGATTTTTAATTATGAAATTTGTGTTTGATCAATATTAGGAACAACATGTAATGTTTTAATTCTGTGTACAAAAATGTATTTTTGTTATGTTTTAAAATACAATGTATTATGCTTATACGTTATGCAATTACGAAGTACTTCTGATTCTTTTAGAATTTATACAATAAACACTATTATTTGCTTAAATGCTGTTTTTATCATTTGTCATGTGACTTGCATTCTGAGGTTAAGTAGTTACTGACATCAATTTAGGGTAAAGGGATTTTCTTCCCAGGTCCATTACTGTGTCAGTACCATAGCCACGCCTGAAAAATATATCCACCAAGGGAAAATATGTGTAATATTCTGTTGGTTGTGGCCCCGTAGATTTTGGTTTTTGCTAGGATCGATTTCCTGCATTCTGTAGTAGTTTTATTCGGAATTAATTTGCCTTAAAATCATGTTGGATTAACTATGATGAATATAATAAACAAAATCTTATGTGTGAACATATATAATGTCGAAAAATAGTACATGTATACTGGAACATACGATCCCAGATGTATATAATTTGTTGACAAAAACACTCGTCAGCTGCTGCCTCTGTGTGCCAGCCTTAACTGTGTCCATGTGTCTGGTCTATGTAAGATGAAAATAAGGTAGAACCCGTAGAACCACAAAGATTTGACACAGTTCAAAGTCCAAAGCTATATAAACACATTGTCCCTAATATATAAAGGATAACTTATCAAATTGTCGAGGCGTCTGTGGCCGGTGGTTAAAGTCGTTGACGGTCACCACTCGCCTCTTACTGCTGTAGGTTCGAACCGCGTAAGCTTTGAGAAAGCCATCGAGCTAGTCTACGGAACGCCTATGGTTCAGGCGCCTGTTTTTGCATGAAATAATGCACAGAGGGTCTTTCCCCACTAGTAAAGCTGGAAAATCACATGACCTATACTGACGTAAAACCCCAACGCAGACTTCCCCTTTAGTTTTTATGGTGTGAAGAACATATTTTCTCTATCATTTAAACAAAGAGTCAAGTTGTTGAGGTTTTGGATACAACTTTAAGAGATGGTTCTTAGATGGAACTTTTGCGTGATGTTTTGAACCAGTATGTCTACATTCTACGATTAAATTAAGTAAAGTGGCACTCCCCACAACTTTTCTTAACCTTGAAAGTCGTCATATGACCATTACCACAAACAAAATAATCAACAAAGAAAGAAAGAATGACTATGTGTATTCAGAAACGACATAAAGACGTTTTAATGAATGGAAAATTAACTATTAATCTTTTACAAACATACATACATACATCTTGTTAACTACTTAATGACATGTATCATTATGACATTCATTTGTTTGCTTATATAAATGTCATATAGTCATTTGTGCATTATCATAAACATCTAGTGAGTTATTCATGCATGTATACTTAAACTTGAACAATCAAAATCAAGTATTGAAATGCTTCAACTCGGATCGATAATCAAACAGATTCGACCACTTGTGTCTTTTATTTATTTTTATTTTATAATTTTTCACTCATAAACATATAAATTCTGGGTTTTCCATTTTACCAAAGTAATCTAAAACATTATTGTTAAACGTAATAAAAGTATGACTCAAGTTCGTTAATAGCTTCTCATGTTTATAAATATCATTGATATATGAAGGCTGTTGAAGTTTTGACAAATGAACATTTATCTAACGGGTGTGGAGGGTATTGGGACGTCACCATTTAACAAAAAACATCTTTACAACAATAATGCTTCAAAGCTTAACAGTTTAAACTTCCCTACACACCTTAAAATGAACAACATATGTGAGTCAGTCCATACACAGAAAATACAGAAATGAAAACAATCTTGGAATAAAAGAAACTATACTACTTATTTCTAACATACTTTCCTATACACTCAACCCTTTACCTCCTGAAACTGGAAACAATTAGCCTTTGTCATCATTATAAAGCACATCCGATCACACAATCGGAACATCTCGACCCGAAATATGACGGAAAGGGCCGGGAAGATACGATTGATCTTTTGTACAATGTAGTTCAATTTTGATACAATTTTCAAAAGTATTGTTCAACATTGATAACATGGCAGATCTTTAACACAAATCAAGGAGGTAAAAGGTTGAACTATTATCATATTATATTTTATTAAGATAACTACTTTTAATCTCAGAGTGTAGAACACATGAACTTGTTGACCTCTATAACAGTTTCTGATCAATTCATTTTAGAATAAAGAAATTCTGTTAAAGAACCGAATCATTATTCAGTCACAATTGTAGAGTCTCCGCTCAAAATATAGATTATGAAACTTCATTCATATTTGCGTTTATATCTCAAAAATCTGACGGTCAATCCACTAGACTATGTAATAATTTCAAAACACAAGTATACACTATTGCCAATCCTTTTCATAAAGATATCTGGAATTGTTCGTTTTAAAAAGGAATACAATTACTTGTTAACATGTAATTTACCACTGTTTGTCTCTACATAATCAAGTTTAATGGCTAAGAATCAAATCACCGACACAATAATCCGCATTATCGTCCGGCCGTGGTACTAAATCCTTCCGAATAGTGCGAAATCGGTACAGACCTTATGTAAGGTGCTTCCACAATTAATTTACCAGAGTCAGAAAAGAAAGCTTTTACAGAATACGGATCAACGGTGTCAGGAAGATGTATTTCCCTGTTTAGTTCCTTTGTCGACGTTCTGTTTCCAAGCTTTTCTTCTCTTTTTGCGCTAATAACCAACTTCTTATCAACCGTTTTTACTGAAAGTTCTTCCGGCGCAAAATCTTCAATATCTACATCGACCTTGAACTTCCGGTCTGATTCTTGGATGTTGCTGAAGGAGCTCCCCTGTGGAGGAGGAGGTGGCGGCGGCGAGGACATTGTCTGCGGGATAACTTGTGGCGAAAATGACGTCACTGGTTGTGTCGTCTGACTTTTCGCTGGTGATCCAGACAAAAAGGTCGTGAAGGTTGACGAATGCTTCGGCTGTTGTGGTTGATGTTGGAGGTTTTGCTGATGCTGTGGCTGAACCGGTGGTGGAGTATTGCGAGCTCCACTTGCAACAGGTGGTGCAGTACTGGTTTGAATGATGTGATCCATAGGAATAGCACGTGGAGCGCCGCCATCTTTGATAGCTCCAAACTGTTGACCGGGCATTGGTGCTTCAACTGTAAGAATCCCGTCAGTCGAGATAGAACATTGAAGTGCCATTGCATCAATATCACGTGGTAAATCTACCTCCCTGCTATACTCACGACTTACACTTTTATTTCCAGACTTTTCCTCGTGCTTTGCGTGAACAATTAACTTATTTGTATCTATCTTAACATTCACCTCATCCGGCTTATAAGTAGCAACATTAAATCTTACACGAAATACTGACTGGCCATGTTCGTCTTGTTCAACTACACCTCTTGCTTCATCCTTTAAACTATCTCCCATTTTGAACTTATCACTAATCGATTCCAAGCGGCCATTGTCTTCTGGTTTAAGAGTAAAAAAGTCTTTGCGCATGCGCTCTATCTCATCCTCCCATTCTCGTCTGCGTCTTTCCAAGTCCCGCTCCATATCTCCCCAAACTCGGCTCTGGCGTTCTGCAAAACTGAGATCGTCTTTAAAGATTGGAATTCTCTGCGCCATCACGGCGAATCACACAAACTGAAAGTACAAAATCAATGAGAATTTATTTTCAAAACTTGATTAAACTTGAGTTTATCAAATCTGACATGTAAGTGGAAATGAAATACATATAATCGATGTAGATATCTTTTTTTTTCTAAATGCTTCAAGGATAAGCTTCATGTTTCCATATTAAATTGTAAATAGAATTACGGCATTGATTAAAACATATACAAATGAACATCAGTATTCACCAGCTACGCACTTTATGAATGAATATAGATTCATACAAAGTACAACTTGTTTCTACTTGCATTTATATATTTATATACGCATGCACGACTCGCGTTTATAATTTATTCGTCTGCTTTCAAAGTTGACATTTTGACCATTTACGGTAGATTAACCCAAAGGCAAATATACGGTTCAAGGGTGTCAAAAGAAGCAAAAAGAGACGCTGATTGATGCAGTTTGATGACTTACTTACATCAGGTAAACCGCAATTTAACGTAACAAGTTCACGTAATAAAATACAGGTGTAGCTTATTTATGTTCAATTACATTACCATTTTAGGCAATTCAAAATAAACGTTTACTACTTTTATGGTAAATGAATTAAATTTCTTATTAGCATGAATACAATGTTTTGATGAAAAATGTAAGTTATGTGGGTTTAATGTGTCGTAAGACGTAAACATGAACGCATTTTTCATCCCGCATTGACATATCTGAAGTTAAGAACAGTTTTAATATTTTAGAAAAAAACAAAAACAACAACAACAAAAACAAAAACAAACAACCATTATGACGTATCAGTAGTCTTGTTGTTTAACTAATACACCATATTAACAACCTGGAACAGAGATTGTTCAAAAGCTTAACCTTGACTTGTCAGCACTGAATACAATATACAATATACAATTCCTGCCTTCCAATTTTCTCTGAATCTACTCTAGACAACCCCCCCCCCCACACACACACACAGCACACGCAAATCCGCTATATCGCGCATGTATCTCGTGCATTCTTCCTGTGTCGGATGTTATCTCACATGCTATTATAGACCATATCTCTCAGTATATCATGATGAAATGTCAAATATACATGATTTTATTTTGTTATGATGATGCAAGTGCCGTGCATGTCTGTAAACACAGATAATATCACGGTCTTGTTCTGTAAAATACAGTAATTAAGACTGGTGTATTTCACCTGAATATTCTATAAATAGATTCCTGTGCTATATAAATAGATAGAGCGGATGTTATATCATAAAAGATCACTGATGATGATAATGATAATGATGATGATGATAATGATGATGATGATGATGATGATGATAATGATGATGATAATGATGATGATGATAATGATGATGATGATGATGATGATGATAATTATGATGATGATGATGATAATGATGATGATGATGATAATGATGATGATGATGATGATGATAATGATAATGATGATGATGGGGACAATGATAACATTTTCATTTACATCTGTAAAAGTATTTCGATGTTACAATAATTTTTTTGGGTCATAAGAATTAATCATCATGCCTTTTTAAAACGGTTTTGCTTCCATTACAGCTTGGTGTTTGTTATGATAATGATTTTTTTCTCTTGAAAATTCAAGGTATGTGTTATATTATATTTACACCATTACAGTACAGTCTGATGTCAATTATTTTTAAAAAGTCACGAAAACACACGTTATCTAACGATGCTTACAGTTCAATAATGATTATTGAAGCCAATTTTGCTAAGTCTTTTGATGAATCAATTCGGGGATAACAACGAGGGTTTCGAATATTTGATGATGCTCTTATCACTGCTGCTGAAAATGATCGTCCAGTAGAAAATAATAATAGTAAGATCTAATTGGAACAAAAATATAATAGCTGATGATGGAAATGATGAAGATTATGTAAGTGGTAATGATGGCGACGAAGAAGATGTTGAACACGACAGAGTCATTGTTTTGTCTTGATGATGATGATGATGATGATGATGATGATGATGATAATTATAATGATGAAATTGTGTTATTCATGATGTTATCTGTTTTCAACATAAATATATTCGATGACGATGAAGAAGATGATGGTAATGATGATGATGATAATGATGATGATGATAATGATACCAATGTGTTATTAATGTTGTTAAGAGTAATGCTATTTAATGACGATCAAAATTATAATAATGTCAATAGGATTGTGTTGTTGATGTTTAATGTAAATACTAATAATAACGATAATAACGATGATGATAACGATAGCGCTGTTGTAACAGTTAATAACAAAGAGTGTTGAATATGCTTATTTCACAATTTATATTCCCGTCTCAATTTCAAATGATTGCAAACGAATCCGCATGTTTAGGAGAAATCAATGATGAATTCTGATAAATATGTAAATATCCCACCATAACCACAACATCTCTGTATCAATTAATAGACGCTAGAATGGACAGACATGTTCTACATGATCCCTATCTTTAGATGTTATTCTAAAACAAACATTATCAAGATGGTAAAAAAGCCGGCACGTGTGCAAGGATAGTCTGCACGGGTAACTTGATACCCCAGAAGAATTCTTTTATGGTTTTTTATTGATTTTGGTCTGTATAATTGAACAGCTAACAAAAACCTGAGGAATTATGATTGTGTAAAAACAAATCAAAACAAAAAAAAAACTCCAACAAAACCACAACGAAAATGAGCTATAATGTTATGCTAAAAGTATTAATATGTGCTTCATAACGTTAGACGTACGTCTAAAAAAAATCAAAATTAATAAATGGTGATGGAAAACCTCCATGTACGGTCTAGGTCACACCACCGCTTGTACACAAACTGTTATGTTAAAAAGGAACTTTTTTCCAAAAATGTGTTAAACATCAAATCAATGCTATGTGAAACAAAACTACTTTATTTAAAGACATTTATTCTTGATGTAAAAATTCACACAAATCCATTCGCATGTTCTTCAATCAAAGAGCACTCAAGTACTGATATAATTATAATTCGATGTCAAAGTGCGTATAAGTTGAGGTCAGTATCAGTCCAAGTCAGTGAGATAATTGATTATCATATTAAAGTAATTGGCAATATATACTTGAGACAAGACCAAATATAACCGCAATATACAGCAAATAAGACACATTTTCTACTTATCTACTTACACAATTAGATTGTGGTTAAGTGTATTAATATATACGATGCACTAACCATAGCTATGTAATGCTTAATTTAAGTCCTAAACTGCAGATAAGTCCGAAATAACCACATAAATAAAAAAAAATGATTGCTATAAATCAACAAGTAAATTAAAACAAAATATTTTTCCTGCAGAATCGCCCAGCGCATGCTTTAACAACAAATCTTTCAAGTCTGAGTTGTTGGTTTTTTACTTCAGCTGATCGGTTAACCTATAAATGACTACTTCTCATAAATAATACAGATAATCTTAACCATTAAACGACGTTAAATATCACTGAACATACCTTTTTCAACTAAGACCGATGACAGAATCCAGCCAAAACAATAATTAAAATCCTCTGATATCTCCAGACATAAAAATCTCTTGAAAAGCAACAAATCTACAAACACCACACAAGCATCACAAGTGCCACATGTAAGTAGTTTATTCCCCTAGATACTACAAAAAACCTTGGACTGAAACAGCAGAGTATGTGCTGTGTAGCATTAAAGAACTCCGATATATAATTCATTCACACACGCTCACTACAAAACACACACCGAGTATTTATATATATATATATCTATTTTATCTCAATGTATAAAGAAATTGGAAGCCATGTAGCTTCCATACAGCATGTTGTCTGTGTTTTATTCTAGAATGTTATATGAAATATTGATATTGTTATTATGTCTAGATGGATCGATTCCAAACAGGATTTGCTATGTAGGACAGACCAGCTGGTGCGGAGAGCTCGATTTTATAACAACTTTCATTAGATATTAAGCCGATGAAAAAATCAGAAAAGGAAAGAAGTCCCTCATTTATGTAAATATTTTGTTATGCACATGTTGCTCATAAATACTTATTAATTGGCCAGAGGTATGCATATCATCACCATAATAGTTATAAAATTATTATCTTATTATTTCTATGATTGTATTCACCGTTTATTCTTTTATTCTAACCAGTTTCCGAATAAATATTTTAACCCTCACAATTCACAGAAACATGCGTTTTGTAAATATTCGAGATGTGTCAATGTAATATAAATGTTCTATTTCATTGAACTACAAGCAACTCACGTGACCTAGATTTTATATCCTTGAAATATTTGAAGCTTCAGTAACAGATTTAAGTACCGAGAGATCACTTAACAAGATTCCTTCAATATGACAAAGTACAATTTCCCAAGAAACACAGAGAATACCCACAACATCAGATAGTTGCCTACTTTATTATTTGAAAAGAAAAGCTTTTAGTTTTGTATTATTTAGTAGATCTAAAACCATTTTATAAAAATGAAATAATCCAAAATGACTCTACCTCTTATCTTAAATCAAAACTATTTAAAATGTTATTTTTAATTTTACATTTTCTATAAAACACTAAGAATATAAATGTTGGCAGACACTGTCTAGTCTCGTTTTAAAACAGTTTCGTGTAAATATTTTTTCTTCTGATAATGGATGGTTGAGTCTTAACTAATCATGTGTTGAATGATCAAAGTTAACTTTCTTCGATTACAAAAACAACACAGTAATCTGTAAATATAAGTTTTGCTTAACTGACTTAAACGTTAAAACAGCAAAACAAAGTACATGTACACTGGGATATACGATAACGGGATATGCCACTTGCGTTTTCTTATCAGTGCCAATGTTGGTGTCCAATTGGAATCGATCGATCGATAAGCGCCGTGTTTAAACGCCGTGAATCAAAGTAACTTTCTCGATTATAAATCACAAGTATATTAAATTTAATGCTTACTGACTGCTAGTTAACACAACAAGTATGTACATAAACATTGAAACGAATTACAAAAATGCAAAACATGAAAATTATTTTCGCTGAATAAAGTCAATATGTTTAAATGCTATCTTGAGAAAAACTTACCAATATAACCCCTTAAAATGCAACAGTTTTGATATCATATCAATACATAATAACTTGTGATATACATATTTCCATTTTTCTTCTCTCTCCACGTTATTCTGTGTAATGTTCTATACTAGTCCTATTATATGAATATATTTATGTTGCTCTTGCTTTTTTGACTAAGTAACTTAGTCAAATATTCTCTGAAAACAAAAGTTATTTACCATGCTGAAAATATTCCCATTTATTCTGAACGAACAGTTATAAAGTTAACTTTATGATACACCCCTAAACATTCCTTTGATCTATTTGGATTGAAAATAAAATAGATGTCAATAAAGAATTCCCATGCATTTGCATAAAATTTGTGAGTTAATTTATCCTTAACGGTGGTTTAAGTACGAAGTAACCCGATCATATTGATTTTCATCGACTGTGAACTTATAAAGCACGTTCAATATTTACAAAAAAGACACGGAGATTTTGGATGTTAAAACGAACTTTATTTAGCACTGCCCAATTGGTTTCAAATATGTTATCGAACAAAAATATTGCAGCGTTGGTGTAGAGGATGAAAATGGGGGTTATAAACGTGTCGTATTCTAACCAATTTTGTAAAATAATTTCATGGAATATAAGATAAAAATACAACTTATGTTTCAAACCGTTAACAATAGGTGAATTAGTTTTGAAATGTGAATGAAGTACTTGATATATTGCATCCTAAAATGTATCAATACTAACACTTATGGTGTCACCCCGGTACGGAATTAGACCCAGCCCGTTGTAGTCTAGAAAGTAGTTCTTTTAAATTTTGAAATGGCCTATTTCAAGTCATCTTAATTGATACTGGTTATATTTTAAGTATATCTTTAGTAATTGTGTAAATAAAGTTTCATTTCTGAGTACTTTAAAGGTTGTTTTTGATGTATTTTTGCAGGATTTCATTTCTGGGTTGAAGGTTTCAGGAGGCACTATGCACAAGAATACATACCAGTTACTATTTGGAATATTCTATAGTGATTACAGAAATTAAAAGCTGCAGAAAAACTACAAGGGCTAATGTATTATTTTTTGTGCTAAATTTACTTGGACTGCATTGGTGTTTTAAGAAATGGTCATGAAGTTTCGGTACCGGATTTGCTTTGTCCAGAATTTAGCCTTAAATGTGATGGATTTACTATAGGATATATGGGTCGAAAATTCAGTGGGCCGTCTCCTTATGAGTACTAACTTGGACATCCAGCAAAAGTACTTCTTCGTTATTTTGAATATATTAGGCTATTAACTTAACATGTCACTGACTCATTTTTCTTACTGGTCACTTTTTCACAGTCATACATTTTATCGTGAAAATATGGTGTTGCCCACGTGACAGCGAACGCTGAACATAATCATACATTAAAGAACTTAGATTGTAAAATATGAAATGTCTATTTGTATATATGTAAACGAAAAATGTCTAGCTAACAAGTATTTTCTATGATCTGAATAAATACTAATACTTATAAATATACTTTTCTTAAAAGCACAATTATGCATTCAATTTTAAGTGAAATTGGTAAATTTATTTAGTAACATATTTATTAGCATATCATACGATAAAACGTATGTTGTGATTAGAGTATACTGCATGGTGTATACACACGCACATAGTTGTTCATTTGGTATTTTCTTGATTCTACTACGTGTATGTACATTTTTATTTGATCCTGAGTTACAAATCCGAACTATATAATTCTAACAGTGCGGGCATCCCACCCCTCAATTCTTATACATTTAGTATGTACAAGAGATCCCCATTATGTGTTCCCTATCAAAACCGCGGTGAAAACAAATACACATGGAATCATACTAAATGTACTTTCAAAAGCATGAAAGTGAATTACATATGCTTTATTCGCTAAATACATGTATAATTCAGCAGGTGTGTAAGATCGATCAAATGAATCGATAACGGTTATTTTGAAATATACCTTTAATTTTCGCAAGTGTTCTTCACCACATCCTGGTTACATTGGAAAAAAATAAATGCATATAATTTTCCGCTCAATTAGATACAATTAACCTAAGGTTGGCCACATCTTTACAACTAAACTAAAAGTTTATTTACACTTTATAAAATCGCGTTTAAAATAACTATATGAACATTTTGGTATTCTTCACGTACAGGCCTGCGACCAATGCAGACGAAGACCAGCCAGCCATTCGTGCCGTCTGAGCGATTCATTCATTACATATTTAATAGCATCTTCTCGGCCCTTTCCGTCAAACTTCGGATAAGTATACTTTTTTTTTAAAATTCTTTCGCTGAAAATGATAAATGGTTGTGTCCAGATTGAAATATGGACAAGTCTATTTGATATATTTAGCATGGTAAAAGTAATTATAACACTAATTTAGTTGGTCAATAATTTAATTGTACTATACTGGGACCCCTAACAATTGCACAGTTTCTTGTTAAATAATGCTCACATTGCCGGAAACGAGATGAAAGTGATAGAATGCTTATCAGTTGTCAAATTAAATCACTAATAATGTGTGCATTTATATATATTTTAAGAGTCTCAGTTTCGTTTCGAAATAGTTCATAATTTGAGGAAGAATAAAGATATATGTTAGCTGTTTTTGCATGTAATAAATATCGATGTATTGAATTATAATTGTATGGGTGGAAACTATCTTTATCTATATTTATATCTTCGCGAAAATATGTTTTTGTTAAGTCAAATTCATCAGATAAAAACTTAATTTGAACAATTATCTGCTCCACTGCTTTAATTAAAGATCTTTTCGAGAAAATAAATTATATTCAACTTTGGGCCACAATTTTATATTGAGTCTAAATTGCTTTTAATAATGTTATCGTTATCTATCAAATTAAAAAGAAATAAAAACCCATTAATGTACTGTTACTTTTTATCTTTCGAAATAACGAAATAACTAACATTAGAGTCTACCAATATCTTTCACGTCATCGATGTAAATACATTTTCATACAGTCGTATATTCAATTTAAACTTCGAGATAACTCATACAAGAAACCTTGCGGCAAGTTAAGAAAAGACAGAAAACTAGATTAAGTTTAACTTAAGATTACACCCACCTTCGTTAGTTTGATTGTACTTTACTTTGATATTGTCTAGTAAATGATTTATTAATGTGTTTCATAAAATTGATGACAGAGGATATTAACCCATTTTTATAGCAGTTTAACAAATTTACAACAAGTTTCAAATTTATCGGTAAAATCAGTTAAAACAATTGCCTTTCGGCCATTTACTAATTATACATGTAAATAATGGCTAAGACAAGGCGAACAATACAATACATGTAATGAAAAAAATGTAATACAATGGCTTATAATTAATATATTTTATGAAACAGCTATACTATCAGGAGCATTTTTACGTGTTTAACACTTTTTAATAAATGAACTATTTTTTTTTTCTTATTTGATGAAGACATTAGGGCAATAAACATATTTATTATGGTCAATGAAATATGCCCTATATATTAATTACGTATTTCAGAATATTAATAACAACAAAACAAAACAAGTGATATTCAGTTTCAATGGCATTTTGGTTGCATATTTAACATAATTTGTTTTCTCTATTTATTCTATTG